ATCGAGGAAGATAAATCAATCTATTCGTACCTATTCCCATCTACCGAATCGGCCAGGCTCGGTGTAAGAATGACACGTATAGATTTCTTGCGGCGGATCACCGATTCTCCCAAAACGTAGAGTACAGGGTGCTCAATCTTGTTTAAGGATGCGGCCACAATACATCTACTCGCTCCTGTGCATGTCGGAGGGGTTTTCTGTGTGGACAAAATGCCTGGACGTGAATATTGAATAGGGGAGGATTTTGTTTATAGATCTCTAATCCATTACGATTACAAATATGACATATCAAAAGTGCTTCGCTAGGTGCAGTCCTTTCCAGAATTATTTTTCCCTGCTCATAATTGAAAAACGGGCTTGACGAACTTGCAGCAAATCAACACAGACGGCACAACGGCCATAAGCATAAGGAGAACGAGTGCAGTAAGCCGATAGATGGTGCGAGGTGAAGGCTGGAATATATTCTCCAATTCAAGACAGTGCGGCACCTGAACGATGTTTTCAATATTTTGAAGGCTACGACTTAGGGTGAGGCTAAGGACCAACACTTTCACTGCATGGCTTGAATTCGGTGTGCTGGTTTGGAGGAGTGACGTCCGGACATCGTCTTGTCAACCATACTCGCCATCGTCTAGCAAAATTAGCTTCTCGAGCCTCACGTGACTGAGAAATGCAGGTCACCGTACAAGGAGACCACGCAGACCAACACTTTGATATCTAAATACTGCGCAAAGTTTATGGTGAGTTAAGTGGTCCTGAAACCACGGAAAGGTCTCCGAAGTCCTGAAAAACTCAGTTGGGAGCTGTAAGGGTAGGGTATCGTTCAGAGTTTACCATCAGGCGACTAGGCGTCTCAGCGATGGCTCAGTGGGCGGAAAAAATGAGTTGATACGTGTGCTATCTTTCTCGCCTAACCGCCTACTCGCATTCGCCTACGAAATGATTCAGCCGAAGCGTAGATAAGCAGCTCCAGAGTGGTTGAATCGAATCCCTGTGAGCCAAAATGGGGCATTCATGTCTTAAAGGGGACATTGACTGGCCTGCCTAAGGTACCTTGCATTAATATACCCTGGCACTCATGTCCATGGAAGCCATTGAAACAAGCTGATGGTAACATGGTAATAGGCAGCACTAGGACAAGGCCAGGAGAGGGGAGAAACGCTACAGAGAACAGTAATTGCCCGGCCCGTATCCTCTCCCAGAATCCCTTCCCCTTTCTGAGGCTCACTCCAAGCAGTGTGGCTCACTCACTTCACATCCTGCTCCCTCCTAGGTTTAGTTCTAGAGGCTACCCTCCTATCTTGCGATAGACCCTACCTTGATTTCCAAGATTGGAGGGCAGGTGTTTTTAAGCCTCAAAAGCCTTATAAATGCTCAAAACTTACATTGGTTGCAGCACTATCGTGTCCATGTGAACTGCTTACTGTAAGAAGCAGCAGCGCTAGAAACACCAATCGTATACTCTGCCCCATGAAGAATGAAACTGTGATTCTCTTAGTATCACAGTTGATTGTTGATAAGTGAGAACACCTTCAACAATTGGTGCGGGCTACAACGCCCAGAAATGAAAGCGCAGATATCGTAATCATTATGGCTATTTCACCTGCATTCTCGCCGTTTGTGTCAAAGCTGTCCCCCATTAACGGCTCATTTCATCACAGACCCAGGTTGGACTATATTTTTTTCTTGGAGGAGGAAAAGCTATGCGCAAGGATGGAGAACGGTTCATTCTTGCGGTTTGAAAAGGTGCGACAATGGCGCTTGGACCTTGTTACCACGGCACCGCTGGCCACTGCCGGACAAATCCATCCATTCGCAGCTATTCGAGAACAGTGAAAGGGGTCGTACCTGTCCCTGTGGGATGGATTGAGGGTCGCAAGAGTTTCAAAAAGTGCAACGTGACGGGTGATCTCGTTGCCGCCTCTACTGACATAGATTCGTCTACGAGGCGAGACCTTTGCACTCTGGAAACACAGTACCCAATGTGTTTTCAGGTAGCTTCGAGTTTCTCCCTACTTTTTCTTCGCTGTCAAGTCCACTTCACCGCTTATGTACTCGAGAACGCGATAAAGAGGGATCCGCATGTGAAGTATTGTCTAGCGCTCAGATGTAGTAGCTTAGCTGCTAGTATGGTGTGTAGCGTTTTTGACAACTAAGGTGGCTGATCACTGAAGCAGTACTTGACGGACGCTCTACCCCCATCCCACTGGCTTACTTACGTGAATTGGGCGATGTGTGTTTACGAGGCGGCCAACACCACTGGAAGCAACTCGACGGGCAGTTTGGCCTCGTTCCATCTAAACGTTGCGGTTGACTCGTCCACACCGCCGCCGTCTTAGCCGAAGATATTGACAGGCTGACCGGCTCATTATGTCAAACTTGTGAGCGGTTGATAAGCATTAATGAATATACGATCGAAAGTTGGGCCAGGATGAAGCGATGCATAAGACTCGCTGACTGATTAGTAATACAACTGTCCGGAAAACGAGAGGTGCAGGTTTGATTTCCCGCCTGGGGCGAAAATTTTGCCCACAACTCCGCAGTCTGTGAAAATGAAAAAAAAACATTTTTCATCATACATATTGGAGTCATGCTTCCAAATTATTTCCGGAAACGGTTTTCAAGCGGTTAGCCTACACAACACGTTAATGAAAATGCACGATCCTTGTACTAAACACAAACACTGTACTAACAACGTAGTAGTGCTTTGATGATCGACAGAAATGATAACTATATGCGGTTTATGGCTTAAATAGTCCAAGATAATGAGTTCAGAATCACATTTCCGTTCATGTCTGGACCAATAATTTTAAAAAATGTCCGACTACTGCTCTCTCAAAATGAGCTTCACCCCTCCCTCCTTGTTTATACCCAATAAACAGATGAAATTCATGCGATCAAGCGTCAGTCAAATACTGTTAATCTTATGGGAGGCGTCATATGGCGCGATCCCATTGGCATTAGAGCGCACAGGCCGCAATTGCCCCATCCTGCTGCGGTCGGACAACTCGTCCGTATCACTCAACTACTTGACTTCAGTAATTGATCGATCTGATAATTTGGGTCTCAAAAATCTTGATCTCATAGTCTGAGTCCCAAAGGTCTAAGAAAGAGCGAGTAGCTTCGCTTTGCCGATGCCAAAGGCTAGAGGAACGCGAACAGAATGTGTTGTGCGGACGGAGTTGTCGCGGCCAACTGCAAGGATGTCGTAATTAGGCTATTGCGCTCCAAATGCCTAACTGATGCACACCCTTAATTTATGTGTTACCCCTCCACCAGCTGCTCCGATTATTACGCTCAGCTAAAGGACGAATTCACGATTAGAATGAAGGTCGAAGAAGGAGTAATTCACCTAGTTGAGGGACCCGCGGACCTCCTAAGGGTGCGGACTGAAGCGCAATTGGCACCGAAGGAGTTGACCTCGGCGACCTATTAAGGCTCAATCTTGGCGCGGTGGGCCAGTGCACGCCCACCGATCATCTGATCACTCGCCGCAGGTCTATACGTGGCGAGTGATTAGATAGGTGAGAGAGCGTAGTGTTGAAGAGGGCACAGCGATGAGAGTCGCATCAATGCTCAAATCAACGGGCAAGGAAGGGTCCCATTCTCGGGTTCTGGGCCGTTTCTCATGGTTCTTCCTTCTTTCGTGTACCACTCACCATCGCTAAGCTCCGTCGCTAAGTTCCGGGTTCCGACTATCAGCGCTTATCGTCCTTTAATAGAAGAACCTGTACTTCCATTATTTTTGGTTCGAAAGACTCAAAAAGCCAGCGTTGTGAGTAAAAGGCCAAAAAAAAACTAGTGATTTGTCCAGAATATCTGCGCGATTTTTCCAAGATTTTCAAGCATATTTTCAATTCCAACGCTTCTCCATATCCAGATGAAGAATTTCTAAAAAAAATCCTTTCGGAATTATATATACGTTAAACGTAAAAAAAATCATAAATAAATAAATAATAATAAATAGGTGAATTAAGTAATAAATACGATAAGTAAAAATAAATAGTTGCTATTTTTTTGAAATTTGGTTTTGCTACCTTACCTTCATTAAGGCATTTGATATTTTGATATAATGAATGTGGATATCTTTAGTGCAGATAAAGCGGCATGATCATTTCACCAACAAGGAAGACCCAGCTGATCAGTTTGCTTTCATGGAAGACGAACTAGAAGCTGCTAAAGCCTGTCGAAAGAATGCTTCAAATGTATGCAGTTCCACTGTACATATTGTGGCTCATATTGCTCCCGCCCCCCCCCCGGGAGTTAGCAATTACTCTTACTTTTTACGTATTACCCCTTCTATAGGGTTGATCCATAATTCCTGGCCGAATTTTTTCAGAATCAATTTTCTTCATGTCAAATTAGTGTCATTACGAAATAAGTTAGTATGTTGAAGGAGGCATCAGTACCTTAAACTAGGATGTTCCAGAAGGTCAAAGGGCAGTGGAATAAGTAAGTAGGGATCGAAATGGATCAACGACCAAAGCAGGCGATTATGCTTAACGATCATTTAAAGAAGAACCTTGCAAGGAGTGCAGTAGGCAAGACCAGCGCTGTGTTTGCCTCAGTCTTTGCTACTGATCGGGCACTGGGCTATTGGCTTGAAGCATCGGCGAAGGCGATACAAGCTGCAAAGTTTGACCTCATCCTGGGCCCCCAGTCACTTTCAATGTGGATCCATTGCGCTGTGAATCGGAAGTTCAACCGGACGCTACCACCTGAGATTTGTAGCAGATACCTGGGCACAGCCGATGCACCACCGCAAGCTGTCTGAATGAAACGGGTTGTAGCAGAATGAAGTTTCGATGGGAACGGCATGCATCACTGACCATGACCGAGAAGCAGACCTGACCATCTGCAGAAATTTCATTCTGCGCAGGCATAGCCTGGACTTTCCCTAGTCGGTCACCAGTGGAGATGAGTCATGAGTCCACTACGACAACAACACGCGGCACGCCTTATGGCTATCTCGCAGCCTGAACCCACCATCTCACCCAAAAGCTGACCTCTCTCGTCAGAGAATATTACCCCAATTTGTAGGATTGGTCGGGTATCCCACTTTGAGAAGTGCTTCATCTTATATAGACAACCACTGCGAAGATAACCATGGAATAACTCCCGAGGTTGGCCGCAGCAGTGCGAGAGAACCATTCGAAACGTCTCAAAATCTCCTCCCTCCGACCTTACATTGCGAAGATAACTCGCCACCTTCTGAAGGAAACTGGTAGGATCGCGATACCACTTCTATCGTATAGCCCTAACATTACTTCATCGCACTATCCCCTTCTCGATGCCCTGCTGCAGCATACCTTCGAGGGAAAGGGGTCACTGAATACAACCACTCAAAAAACGACCTCTCCGAACTCTTCATCCCATAGCACCACTCGTTTTGAGAGGAACGCATCCATTCGCTGTCTAGCAAATGAATGCATATCAGCGATTGCGATGGTGGTTTTATTGTTGATTAGTTACTCTCCAGGAAAGAAAAAACTCAATGAAATGAAAGTGGCGAAATTCGGCCAGAAATTATGGATCAGCCCAATATAAATTTCGTAATAACTTCGTATAGCATACAAGTCCAGCCAATTGAATTCAAAGATCTTTGTTTTCGCTTTTTCAAAATGCAATCAGACAAGGTTCGATGAAAGGTTCGCTCTTAGGAGTTGTCGGGCATAAGTTTTACCAGAAGTTGTTCCCCATGGAAATCTATGAGACTCGTTAGATGCTCTTTCAGACTCTACCACCATTATTTACTCTTCACCACACCCTACTCTTAAAAATGAGCCGGATTTTTTCGGAAGTCGTTCTGCCAGCCGTGGAACATCCCTAGTCATACAACATCATGGAGATAGTTCCACTTTTAGAACACAAAAATGAAAATCCGTCAGGTGCGGAAACAGTTTTGCTCCACATTGTTTCAAGGCGGCGCCTGCTGCGTGGGCGTCAAGCGTTCACTTCAAACCAGTGTGATTTCAGGGCTCTCCTCGTCAAGGGTGGCCAAAATGTCTTAGCGCCGGCTTCTGTGGCGTTGGCAACCAATGTGATAATCGTGTTCTATGGGTCAATCGTCCTCCGCCCGCAAATTATTACTTAAAGCGAGGGATTACGCCATTAGCAGTTGCGGTGCAACCATGGGAAGAATCAATGCACCAGTGAGCAGTAGTCAAGCGGGCCACCCGGAAGGGTGCGTTTTCGTGGTGATAAGCTTAGTAAGGCCCTGCCAGCCTCGGGACGCGAGTTCAGCCGAGAGCAGGGTCAACCCTACGTTGTTACGAGTAACAACGGGGGGGTCGTACTCAGTTGAGCTTGGAGGGGGGGGGTCGTACCCTCTCGGTGGCCGACAGTGGGATTCTTGGTAATATCGGATAATAGCCAGCACGTTACGTTTTCGTAAGATGACTGACTAGAGCATCTATAAACCACGATTCCCTCTAAATGAGCTTTCAAATGAATCAGCGAATTAGAAGGGCGCCCGAGGCGTGGCGCGCACCAAGGCAAGGGATGTAGTGCAAGCGCATGCTCGGAGCTTTCTAGCACATCCTAAATTAAACATAAAATTGGTCTTCCAAGAAGTTACGGGCAGTGAAACCTAAGAAAACTCGCGTTTTCGAGAAAATGGCTTGAAGAATACCCCTCAAAATAAAAAGTAACAACGGACTAATTTTTGAACTGCTGATCTTTTCAGAACGCTTGGGTGCTCGTTAGAAAGCTTGAAACCTGTAGTTTATTATACCGTGTTCAGCTTCCCAAATGAATGACTTTTTGAAGGAAGTTATGATCGTTTGAAGGTAAAAAAGTCGCGGTTCCAAAAAAATAGTAACGCAAACCCCCAAAAAAGTAACAACGGGACTAATTTTTGAACTACTGATCTTTCAGGAACGCTTGGGTGCTCGTTAGAAAGCTTGAATCCTGTAGTTTATTATACGTGTTCAGCTTCCCAAATGAATGACTTTGAAGGAAGTTATGATCGTTTGAAGGTCAAAAAGTCGCCTTTGCACAGAAAAAAGTAACAACGTACTAAATTTTTATTAAATTAACTTTCGAAGAATTTTTACCCATGGTTGGAGAGAGAATAATTTGAATTTTCCAAATCAAATCACTTCGGCGCAGAAGCTCGAATATGAAGGAAGTTATAGCCTTAGAAAGAGGGGTGTAAAAATTGTGTTGCAATTGAAGAACGTGAAGGATTTCAGTATTTCAATTGGAGCGATAATTTTTTCTGACTTCTCATAAGTTTTTATCAGGTAATATTGTCAATATTCCGGTCACTGGTTCAGTTTATTTCATCTCCTAGTTTGGTAACCCTTTGGAGTACACGGATATCTTTGAATGCATCTCATTTTTTCGTGTTTGGAAGCAGCGATGAATATCTGTCGTGGATTTTGCTAAAGTTTCATCTTTGATGACTTACGTAGAAATAAATATTGATGGTAAACACTGTCTCTACACAAGTGTCACATACAAGGGGGGTCGTATCAATCATCCCCATGAAGGGGGGGGTCGTAAAAAATGTCCAAAGAGTAACAACGATAGGGTTGGCCTCTGCCTCGAGAGCTGCCGTTCCTTACTAAGCTCCGCCTCCGCTGCCTGTGCTCTACCCATCAGTGTGTTGCGTCATTGCTCTTGCTCTTTGAGTACGTATCCTATGACTTTCCTATGGAATGCGTGACTCATATCAAAGCATATCTTTTTGCTGAATGATAGTAAGCTCAACTGTTCAAATATGTCTAATCCTCTCTTAAAGCGAGAGATTACGATAAAGTGCGTATGCAGCGTGGAAGTACATGCACCATTGGAAGCAGTAGTCAGGGGCCCAAGGAAACGAAATGTTGCGTTTTTGTGGTCAAAGGTGCGCTAGTTGCAGCGTACAAGGCTTGCCATTCCTTTCTGAGCCCCGCCACGGTCTGTGCTCCGCCCCCAGCAGCAGCGCCCTTCGATTGCCAATGTGACGAGATATTCCACTTCCAGAGTGTATCCTATAACTTTTCATGGGATGCGTGATCAATCAAAGCATGATGCTTGCTGAAATGATAGAGGCTATCAGCATAACATGTGCAAACGACCTCCTAATTGGTTGCTAGCTCGTCCATTATCGGAGGTCAACGGGCAAAGAAAAGGGGTCCCATTTTGCGCCTTCTTGACGGATTTCTTTGCTTTTTTCGCCACTGGGGCATTATTCAGCATCTCCACTTCCACTATGAACCCGTGGAATCAGTAATCTCTCGCTTTAATTGAGTGCTAGCTCGTCCATTATCGGAGTTTACCAGACCGAAAGGTATCCCATTTTGGCGTTCTTGACGGAATTCTTTGTTGTTTTTTTTTGCCGCTGGGGCATTATTCAACACTCGACTCACCACTATGAAACGTAACCACTGCTTAATGCCGTAGTTCCTCTGCTCTTAGCTAAATCTCCTTATGGTAACCAATTTCGAGAAGAGTTGACTCTTCTCGAAATAGTGGAAGTGTCAATCGGGTTTAATTGTGCAAACGTTTCCGCTATGAGCTACGGAAATTTCACACGTCACACATTTTTAACGCACGCGTTCAGTGTAGCAACTCATCATCTTTCGGTCCTATTTGGTTCCGTTGCCTCAGATACTATGATACGTATCCTTGTCCGGACGCACACGATGAATAATTATGGTGCAATAAATCTGAGGCATAAGTTTGCTCTTCTCTGCTGAAACATCTGAACTGCCCTGTGAGGTAAAGGAGTCCTCCGAGAAATGGTACCCTATTTTGCTAAAAGCATTCTCTCTTCTTTGAAGGAGAAATCAACTATAAGGTACAGCCCATTAGAATCAAGGTAGAGGTAATCAGCGGTACCGAGGTTGAGGAAATAATTATGAGGAACGGCCTAGAACTTGAGTAATAGGACTCCTTCCTTACACGCTGATTTTCGCACTGGTGCGACTCTCATGGGTGCTGCCCTCTTTAACGGCGGAAAGCGCTGCGAGGAAGACCATGCTAGATCGTCAGAGCGCATATTCTTCGCTGCGAATTGCACGTCGCCCGCACCCAGGGTCTTGCTGTCTGCCACCGAAAAAATTTCCCATTCGCTGAAATCTGACCCATCGTGGAATCCTTCTTTGAAGCAATAAAAACGAGCTCTTCGTCTGACTTGATTGAAGGGATCGTTAACTGCTGGTGAAATCTATTCCTCCGAAATGTCTGGAAACGGTTTTACTTACGTCAATTTTGCAGTTTTCGAACGGACTCCGAACTTCACTTGGTTCCGGGATGAATATAATGAAAAAAAACAAATTTTATATAAAAAAAAATTCTTGAACCTGACCGTCGATTACGCAGATGTCATTGGTATGATGTTGTTCGGACATCACCATACAGACACGTTTCATCTGATCAAGGTATGGATTTCAATTGGTTTGTAAAAGTAGTTCTATGAGGTAGACACAACGACTTATTGGTTCGGACTGGAGGCGACGGTATGTAGCGCCAAGCGTCTGGCAGTCAAAGCATTTTTAGAAACGCCGTTCGTTCAGATAGTCTGTGAGACGCTGCTCAAGAAAAGCTGAAGTATTCACTGAACTATGGTTTAAAATACTATTATTCATTGTGTATTCTGATTGGATTTTTATTGCGGGTGTCGAACGTCTTTGTTTTACGCACTAACGCCCAATCGCTTTAGAGGCCCACTGGATCCTCACGTAATAACGAAGTTCGAAGACAGGGAAAAACTTCCCTTGAGATGGAGGAACAGCGGACCCCCGTAAGATGGGTAACCCCCCAGGAGGCCCGTCGCGCGGCAAGAAGGCAGAGTCGGCGGACGAGTTGCAAGGCGTGGTGTGCGATGTAGGATGTGCAGTGGGGACACTCTATTTAACTTGACGCGCGAATCCCCATAGTACGCGCGCGACTCGTCCGCTGACTTTGCCTTCTTTGCCGCGCGATTGGAGCCCTTCGGGTTTAACCCCTGAGGATGTGGATCAACACAATTCGTATCAAAGGATATCCACCACGATGTTGACCTGACCGTCCTTTTTGCCGCCATGTGCCCCGAACGCCGGCGAACATTAATCGCGCACAAGTATACAGGGGGGGGGGGCAAAAAAAAAAAAGACATTTTGTCTCCACTTCCAGATGGATTTAAGCACACTTTGCTCAATTCAGACCGAATGGTTCCCAACTTATTATTGAAGAGCGCATTCCATTCTATAAGAAAATCTTCATAGTGGCCACCTACGTGGACGGCATCAGAAGAATTTGCCCTGGAAACATGGTGCACTGGTCGAGCTCATGAGGTCTTCAAAGGATCGTGAACCATAACGACCCTTACTGAGGACGGGTTTCAAGAAGGATTTGCGTAATTGGTGCTACACATGCCTCTAGAAAGCTATCCAATATTGAATCGATTCACGAAATTACGTAAGAGCTTCAGGCTGAAGCAGTTACGGTAGACCTCCTCGAGCCTGACGACGGATGACAGATGACGTCATATTCTGAAGACGGTGAGGGCAGTGAAGGAGGGCCTGCGTTCACTTATAGAGGGACACTTAGGAAGCAAAAGTCGGGCTCAATAAGGGGGTATTATGGCGATTGAAACTGAGTATAGAGATGTGAAATGGAATGACAGTGGAGAAAAAAAAACTGTCGACAAAGCCGTTAACAACCCCCTTTCCCATTAGCAGTGAAGGAGGCTGGCTTGGGGAAAGAGGCACGTACAAACAAGTTTTCTGGAGATGTCAGTCGTTCTATCGGTTGATACGGCAATCAACCTAGCTGATTCACACGTTATGCCAGCCACGCACCACTTCCGGAGGTGGGCGGTCCCTGGATTGAAACCGAACGCCCCGGGCCTTAACGGGGTTTTTCAAGGTGGGAAGTTGCTGCAATGTGTGCAGCTACCCACATACAACCTCCAGGCACGGGAATTACTTCTCTAGCGTGCCTGAGCCCGACCTTTGCCTTTAAGGAAACAGTCCGCAGCAGAGTGGGCGTGGTCGGAAACGGCTGCAATCCCTCTCGGCCGATTCCCACTTCGAAGCTGTTGTCAGCCCCTAGTCAAGAACGTAAGAAGTGTGACTGAACAAAAACTCACCTTGGAAGGCCGCTAGGGAGGTATCTGAAGTGGGTAGTCGGAATCGGCCGAGGGGATTGCAGCCGTTTCCGACCACGCCCACCCTTGCTGGAACTGTTGCTTTAAGGAATATTCCGCCATAAAACATTCATCAACAAGGGCAATCTCTGTGAAGACAAAAGGGGCCGAAGTGCGACATGGGCAAAATGTCTCTCTTTTTTGCCCCCCCCCCCCTGTATACGCGACGAGCGATTAGTAGCGGAGAGAGAGCGTTAGCGTGCGTAAGAGGGCACAGCAATAAGAGTCGCATTAATGGCGAAATGAGGGCGGGGATGGGGTCCCATTCCTCAGTTTATAAGCCATTTTCTCGTTCTTTTTCCTCTTTTGTGTATCACTGACCATCTCTACCCTTATTTTCAGTGATCTAAGTTTTCGTCGGAAAATCCACGTTCAAAGTGTAGGCGTAATGAATAAAATAAAATGAATAATAATTCAATAACAAGTAAATATTAATTATTAATATTATTGTGTCTACGGATCAAATCCTGTTCAAGACGAGGATGCCCCAATTTCTTTTAAATGAGCTCGTAGGCATAAAGCCTCCTTAGGCATTAAATTGAGAGTCGAATAAGCTGCAGCGTAATATTTATACTGGCTCAATACGCGCTTGCATGAGTGTCGGGTGTGTGGCGCAGCCGACAATCTTTTCAGGGGAACCCGTTCATCCCTCATGTGCACATGGGCTTCCAGTCGGTGAATCCAACCCTGCTTCGTCTCTGCTCACCTCCTCCTCGTTCTAAAAGTCAAAAATGTGAGCTACATGTGCAGTAGATAAATAAAGCTATTAGAGGAACATCGGTGGGCTATGCATGATCGTGTATCCCATCCTGGGCAACAGTTTCCGTAAGCATGGAGCAGGAGGGCGGCAGACGGAAGGTCTTGCACCCTTATCATAACATTTCTGCACCGCTGCTTTGGAGTGACAGTAGAAGTAGACTGAAAATATCGGAGGCACTCGAAATAAGAAGATTATTCCCGGAAAGAAATAGCAGCGATGATTTACATGACTTTCTTACACTCATGACTAAGTGATATGCACTGTAAAATGAGTGCAAGATCACGTGACATTGCTGTCAAAGCATGTCTGGCTATCTCATGGCACATTCCACGATAGCAAGATAGGGCTGCCGAGGTCAAAATATGAGACTGTAGGTGATTCACGATCGAGCAATCAACAAGAAAGCAAAAGAAACTGTTTATTACCTTCTGGAAAAGACATTGTACGGCTTGTGCTATAGAAGAGGAGCATACCCGAGAAAGAGACTCCGACGACGAAAGATCGAGAGAGGATAGGAATCGCAGAGACACCAGCGTTTGTCAAATGCCAGACGTGCACTGGGATTGGAGTGAGGCTTGCGGGCTACTACAGCCATTGTAGCCATAGAAATTACCCCTCTACAGTTGGTATTCGCTCACAGACCAGCCTTTTTCTCTAGTGGGTGCTATTACACCACTCAGGTAATCGCAGAATGATCATTGAAGGCACATTCCGCGATCAAACTGTTCCAAATACACATAATTTACGCCATTTCCGGTACCAATGGGGCTCATACCGCTTACCCCATCCGAAATGCACGCCTTGAAAACGCGGTGCCATGATAGTATTCTGCTACTCTCAGCTCTTCTCTGTTCTCGTACTTTCTTGCATGGGGCGCAATCTCTTCTAGCCTACCCTTCAAAAAGCGAGCAAGTGTCGGGTGCAGACCAAACACCACAACTGACGACGGCCTCCAAGTGAATCCGTTTAGAAGTTGTTCATAGTGGCAGCTATTTTGGTTAAGATGAGTAGTTGTCATTAGTTGACAACCGATAGACACACAACTATAATAGGCGCGCTAACTAATTTCATTGTGCTAAAAAACATTTTACCCTTTGTAGCAAGCCGTCGTCAGTTTAATGGTGTATGGTCTGCACCCACGATAAACGTTCTCAACTTTGAGAGAGGGTGTGTCATACAATACATACTGCCTCGTGGTAAAAGGGTAGGGCACTTCACCCACTCGGAGAATGAAAAATCGAAGATAAATCTTACCATACATTATTTCTAAAATCTGGCGAAGAACTACATATCTAAAGATTATGGATTCTGATGAAGTTTCGCAGTGCTTGGCGTGCTCGCCCGACTCAGTCGCTTCTGACTGTTACGTAAGAAATGCCCAGGAGCGTCATCTAAAAGACAAAAAATCTATGGGCAACGTCACCACAAAAAGTGGGATCGATCGCTTCTTTACACAAACGCAAACGCCGGAATTCTCAATTATGAGAGCTGAGAAACTGCCCGGAAAAAGGGCATGTCTCCTACATGCTAATGGTGATAATTTTGTTGATAGAATGTTCAAAGAAAGCGATTACGATAGATCTCAAAGGGGTTAGAGGGGACGTGAGGGTCTCAATAGTACGCCAATGGCGAAAAAAGCAAAGAAATCCGTCGAAAATAAGCAAAATAGTACCCCTTTGATTGCCCTTTCATTTTCGACCATGGATGAGCGACGTTGTTTCGGCGATGTTAACCTCCGATAGCCGCCATCATGCCAACAAGACATAGTGTTTTGATTGATAAGGCATTACATGGGCAAGTTGGGAGATACAGCCGATAAAAGGGAAACGATCTCCCAAAATGAAAGCAAACAGCAGACAGCTCGCCCAAGTCATCATCTGACAAGTGGGCGTACGCTCGCTGGAGCGCGAAGTCTACAGAGCTCATATTAGCAACCAACATCCTCTTCGCGTTGAAGCGCCATACAACATCGCGTTTCCTTAGAGCCAAGTACCGTTGCTGCTGTCGGGGCGCAGTTTTTCTCCCCCTCGATGCGAAAATTTCCTTATCGTAATCGCTTCCTTTAATTCAAGGAAAGAGGGTGCAATCCAAAGTCTCAGACAAAGTGTCGCAAGATTTTCTGGACAACCCAGTAACTGTCGTCTTTAAGGATTCATCCGGAGCCAGTGTACAGTTCGCGCTCATGACACCAGCAGTGACTCCGTGGTTTTCCAGTTTGGATGGTGCAGGAGCGAATAATCCGGCGTTCAGATTGTATTTCACCGATGACAATGGAGTAATCAACGATTTCGAGTTAGTTTTAGTGATTTCTTCATAGCCATTCTCACTAATTGATATGTTTCAGAACTTACTATATAAATCTGACCACTCTGAACAATGACGGAAGTAAAACTAAATTTGTCAAAGAATATTCCTTCAAAGAATCTACAATGTAAAAGGACCAATCGACGTGAAGACGATGGATAGCATAGTTGAGAGGCTGAAGAACGACACCGAACTTTTTCAGAAGTACATAGATTACAACTCCGTGTTATGGGATCCAAAAATGCCTGAAGGCCGATTCAGGTGAGAGCTAGCACGATATATTTTTGAGCTTATCTCATTTTCATTGGTTCGAGTGTCAAATCCTCCAGGTTGAGAATCGCTCGAAAGCGAAAACCTTCCCTTAGAGTGGGATAATCGGTGCTGGACCC